TGTCCTGATTCATTATACTTTTCATAATATTCACCACCTCTATCCGATCGTAGTATTTTCACCTTTTTATCTAATTGCCTTTCAACATCTTTAATATACACCTCAAGTGCATTCACTGATTGAGATTTATCATGTAATAGATAAATATAACCATAACGTGAAAAATCATCAATAAATGTGATAAAATAACTTTCTTTACCAAAAGATGGCATATCAAAAGGACAACATATATCAGTGTGTATAATTTTAAGAAGCTCTGTGCTTCTTGTGGCACCTTTCTTAGTGTGTTTTGTTTGTTTACCCTTAATACAATCAATACACACTCCAAGATCAGTAAAATCCAAATTTGGAAGAAATTTCATTCTTCACTAATCTTTGCATTGTTTCTTTGGATATGTGACCCAAACGTTTATACCACAAGTAAGCAGAATTCTCATCCACTAAACTGCGTTTAGTGCCAACATTATGATGCAAGGTCATTAAGGTCTCAGCAAAAGCATTATCAAGTTTAAACTTGTAGAGACCATCACATAAAATTTCAGTTCCAATAAGATTATTATTCTTATATAAACTGAAAGATCCACAACCAAATTTAAAAGAGAATCCCGCTACATCAAGTCTTGGCAAAGAAACTAAATTGCGGGAACAAGTAGGTACATAAAGGGTTCGAAACAAATCCAAATAATGCCCATTATCTAAGATCAAACGATAAGTGCCAATGCCTTCAACTAGAGCTTTGTTTCTATTCCCCGTGAGCACATAATTCTCATTTGGCTTTATGGTTTGGATCGAAAGAAATCCCTGCATCGTATTTGAAACATGAGTGGTGGCACCATAATCAATCCACCAAGTATTATGAGGAACTTCAGTAAAGTTTGATTCAAAACATACTAAAGCACAAAGGCTTACCTTTCTTTTTGAACCCAGCTTTACACTTCAGACAATCTTTCTTCAAGTGTCCAATTTTATTACAAAAGTGATACTTAATAAAATTGTGTTCCTTCTTGTGGATTTGAGAAGCCTTAGAAGAGTCATTCAGTTTGTGTAAACCTTTCTTTTTGCTCTTTCCACCTTTCCTCTTGGAATTTTTCTCAGCTTCTTGATGACTTAAGAGATGAACAGAATGAGCCTTTTGATTCTTTATCCTTATTTCCTCTTGAACAAGCATACTGGCCAATTCATTTACATTCCACCTGTCCTTTATAGTGTTGTAATTCATTTGAAATGGCCCATATTGTTCATGAGGCAAGGAATTAAGTATGAACTGTACTAAAAAGTACTCATCCACGTTCATTCCCAAAGTCCTTAATTTTGCCGCTAAGTTTATCATCTCTAGTACATGTTCATGCATGATACGTGAACCATCATATTTCATGATGGTCAAAGTACTCATCAATGTACCAGCTACTGACTTATTAGCAGTTTGAGAACGCTTTTCCACAAATTTCATAAATTCCTTAGCATTGTCAGTTTTGGGAAGAGTTGTCTTTAAGTTGTTTGCAACTGTCATTCGCATAAACATTAAGCTTAATCTGTTCGATCTTTCCCAAGCTTTATGGAAAGACTTTTCATTATCGTTGCTCTCATCAGTAATAGTAGCCGGTTTCTCAATTTAAAGTGCTAAATCAAGATCCAAGACACCTAGGTGAAATTGGACTTGTTCACTCCAATCAGGGAAACTCATTCTATTGAATAAAGGAATAGACGAAGCATGCGAATGAAGAGAAACAAGTACAAATACTGCAAATATACAAGAATATACTCATACATTAATGCTTTGAGAATATCACATTATCATATTCAAATTAAACATTACATATATATCATACTTCTCCTTTGGGTGATCCTATAATATACAAACATACAATAAACCACAATGATGCTAATAACTTTTATTTGGTAATTATAAATACACCCCATTAAAATTTATTTGATATATTTGGATATACAAACAAATTTAACAAGACATATTAATTACCAACTATTATGTTCATGAATTATAAGAAATTGATTTACCTTTGGGTCAATCCCTAAGTCCTTATAATAAATGAACTGCAATATACCCATGACACCAATAAGGATATGTAATATATCAATTCCAATCATAGCATGAATTAATCATGGGTAATTGAAAGAAACATTATACAATTTCAAAAATTCAAGACATTATGGTTCGGCCACTTTGGTGACTAACAAACCATTCATAATTGAATTCTTGAAATTGTAAAACACTATAATTGTTTCATTCACAAACATTTACCAAATTGCATGCTGAGGGTAAAACCGTAAATTAATGCGTAAGGGCAAAATTGCAAAATCAGAATCGATAGGGGGTAGAACCATAAATTCAACAGCAAGTGGCAAAATGGTAAATTACTCGGTCAAGGGCAGAATCGTAAATAAACACATAAGGGACAGAAACGTAATTAGCGGAGGGGAGAGAAGGCGCGTGCCGGTGACTGCCCCGTGGGTGCGTGCAGTGCACGCGCCTACATCCGCAGCGCGGGTGCGTGCGTGGCACGCGCCTCTCCTTCACTATGCGCGTCAACGCGTGGACCCACGCGTAGCAAGCAACTGCAGCATGCACGTGGAGGCCACGCGCCTTCTTCATCACGCCCTTTCACTTTTTTTTTTTTGTTCCCCGTTCTACCGCGCTTTCCGTCATCGGGGTCTCTTCCAATAGCCCATCTCTGACCAAATTAACAAGTGGGTTTTGGAGACCACGCCGGCGCCATCACACAGGTCCAAGATTCGACGAAATGAATCGGAACAAGAAATCATTTCAACCACTTTGGCAAATAACAAAAAGGCCAACATCGTTTGGCAAATCCAAACCCAGAAACCATAATCGAAAAATCATGAGATCTTAAACCTCGCTCTGATACCAACTGTAAGTGATATCGTAATCCTTTTATGCGGAAAATTTATGAAATCTAGGATCTTAGATCTTTATGAATTTCACAATAAGAGGGATGAAGACGTACCTTTATCCATAGAGTTTCCCTTGAAGATAATTGTTGCAGAAAATGGAAGAAACGAAGAAATCTAATTTCTCTCCCTTAACCCACTTTTCGCTTAATGTATCTTATCAATGGAGGATAAGAAAATACAATGTTTTTTTCTTGCGTTATCGTGGATGGAGAGAGGACCAGACTCTATTTATATATACCCCTTCATGTGGTGCCTTCCATTAAAGCATATCTCATTTCATAAGAGTCGCACCTCTTCGGAGGAACTCTAACTTCTTAATAGAATTACATATTTTCATTTATTTTTCATAGCCAATACGTTTTAGCACTTAAATATTTATTAAACCATTAATTTATAACATCATGTGGGCCACATTATTCTTACATGTGTCGCTTGGAAGATGGGTTGACCTTGCCGTCGCCTGGGCCTCTCTCGCCATCACGACGGCAAGGTCGGCCTCGCCTTTGCTGGGCGAGCTTGCTGCCTGGTCACTGAGATATGGGATTCGGCTCATCGCAGCTATCTATTCGGTATGTATCCTGATCATTGAATAAACTTTAACAAACAGTACAGTAGCCTTATTGTGGCTCTTCGAGCATCGAAAGTGTGCGAAATGTTTTGTATAAAGGTAATGCTGACGGTTATTCAATTCTAGGGCGTTGTGTGCTATGCGCTCATATTCAGCATCATGACCCGGTGCAGAAGTAAAAAAGGCGCGCTCTATACCTCCGTCTTCAGCCCTCTGATGCTCCTCATGTCGACCCTCCTGAGCTGGGGACTCTTTCACGAGAAACTACACGTCGGTACGTTCGTATCCATTTGACAGCGAAGTTAGTTTAGGTTAAGGATATTTGAAATGCGATAGGTGATCTGTAATACGAAGTTCCATTGACATATTCTTTGTTTCCTCTGGAATTCCAGATTGGTGGGGGTCGTGTTTATCATTGCCGGGCTCTATTCCATTCTGTGGTCGAAGGGCATAGAGGAAGAGCAAGCAAGAAACCCCTAGGAGATGGAAGGTCCCCAACCCTGACTCCGCAAAATCTTGGGCTCTACTACCTTATTACTAGCTTGTCTATAATATTATTCGATGGGACTGATTACCACTTTCTATTACTTTCTTTTGGCCACCCATTCAATATTAGCTGTCTATAAAGGCTTACACTTCATTGGCCTTTGAGAAGATACTCAAGAAAGGTATGCTCGTATGTATGTAGTCTTATGATTTTAAGGGTTGTTGTCATACTTTATAAGGAGTTTATTTCTTCTATCAAAAGAAAAGAAGAAGAACATGGCAACATAGAAGTATTTCTTATAATATCAACAAAGCACTTCTTTTATGTTTTGACAAAACACATAACCCAATATACATAATTGGAGGCAATCCAAGTTGATGAGGCAACAGAAGAGGTTGGAATTATTATTATTGCCGCCCATAATGTTTATATGGTCCATCAAAGCTCAACAATTCACCTCTTCAATTGCCCACCTCGATAACGACGGCAAATCAATCAAGTTCAATACATAGAGAGAGAACCTGCTTAATGTGTACCAATACAATACGCGACATGCAATAGACAATGTACCAATACAACATCGTATAGGACGAAGTTTGTAATGGTCCCACGTCGTGCTTTCTGTACTCATGCAGCAATCTCCAGCATTAACCACATCGCCCGCCTTTTGCGTCCAGGACGTATTGATAATGCGCGGAGGAGGGTGTTCGACCACATGCTTCACACAAGCCTATCGCGTCATGGAACGCGGTCATTGCCGGGTATTTCCAGAACAGCAGGCCCCGTGAAGCGCGGGAGCTGTTTGATAGGATGCCTGAGAGGAACACGGACGAGCAACCGCCGCTCCGGTAACTACGGTCGACTAGTGTCAGGCTATTGTATAGGACACGCGTTTCCGTTTCTTGGGATAGGACTATCCTAGGACTATCCTATCCGTATCCCGGAATAACTCGGCGCCTATAGCCAAACACCCCCCCAAAAAACTCCAACTACAAAATCAAATCCTCCAGCTCGATCGCATCACGTCGTACCGTCGTCCTCACCATGTACGCTTCACGTGTCGTCTTCTTCCTCCTCGCTTCACTCTCTTGGCTGCGCTCCGCCGCCGTCGCCGGCGGGTGCGGAGGCGGCGACCGGCCGGTCATCTTCAGCTTCGGCGACTCCAACTCCGACACCGGCGGGCTCGTCGCCGGCCTGGGCTTCCCGGTCAATCCCCCCAACGGCCGGTCGTTCTTCGGCCGATCCACCGGCAGGCTGAGCGACGGGCGGCTGGTGATCGACTTCCTCTGTAAGCCGCCTCCCCCCTGCATTTCTAGGTCCTTCCTTCGCGGATCACTGAGTAGTCACTCGCCCGTGCCGTTTTTCCCTCTCCTAGTTCGATTTGTTGTAGCTGGAATTGCGGATCACTGAGTAGTCACAGCTTAAGCGTGTGTTGCGGATTAGAAGTAGCAAGCACGGTGCTTGCCTCCGTGATCGTGAATCTGGTGATGGTATCGTTCTCCTTTGGTTGAGTGAGAGTCTGTCGTGAATGATTAACATGGGAATCTGCTGATATTGTATAATATTAATCTGGGAACTTGTCATTTTGTTTATTCAATTGGGGATTTGATAGGAAGGTTTTGTCGGCATTATACTATTTTACTAGTCAGGCAATGGCGACAGGGGTAAGAGGGAGGGGCCCCACCATTGCGATGCTGTGGAGGACACCTCTTTTGGTCAGGAGTAAAGCTTTCTAATTGATGCGTGTTATGCACTGAAATGGATAATTAGTTGATGCAATCATCAGGAGCTGCAAACAAGTCTGGGTTAGTAACAAATCTAAAGCTCTTGGTCCTTCTTGCGGACTTTAATTCGTAAAAACAGATGGTACAGGTGCGTGATTGTTCGAAGATAACACTATTTTTAAAATAGGGTATTATGTGGGTTCTGGTACCGGGTATCGATTTATGAATTTGTTTTGACCTCATCGTTTCTGTTTCTTTTCTTAGCCATCGATTTAATTTCAACTGGATAGCTAAACGTTTGAGATTCCAAATACTTAGACTGCTTTGAATTTCCTTGGAGTTGCTTTGGCATTTTGAAAAATGATCGCCTCCAAGATGGCTAATGAAACATGTCATTTCAATTTTGACAAATGGTGCTCCTCAAGTTTCATTTTAATAAACTTAAATATGATGGGTTTTGAACAGAAGTGAATATAATTGCTTTAGTCATGGATTCTCCTAGCATGGAGATCACATATTTTGCGACAGTCTTGACGAAAAGGGAATAGGGAATGGGGAAGAGAGCGCGTTTAGAGATTGACATGGTAAGAATTTGCTTAGCATGGTTCTGAGCTTGCCATTTAAGTTCAGCTTTCCAAACATTGAAGTTGTTTGTGTTTTAGGGAAGCAGTAATACATTTGGTCGGGTGGTAACTTGATAAGAAATGACTGGTATATTTTAATAGGTTGTGTCAGCTCGAAGGGAAAAAGTCATGTGCGATTTCTTTTTATTCTTGTTGTATACAACTTTCATACCAATGAAGTAGGGGTTGAAAATTCTTTTGTTGGCCGATATGTCTAATCTTGCAGGCCAAAGTTTGAATACTAGTTTTCTCAATCCTTACCTGGACTCTCTGGCGGGGTCCAAGTTCACAAATGGCGCAAATTTTGCAGTTGTAGGCTCGTCAACCCTCCCTAAATATGTTCCTTTTTCGCTGAACATTCAGGTCATGCAGTTTCTCCATTTCAAGGGACGCATCACTGAACTTGCATCTGCAGGTGTGAATTTATAAATTCACTCATCGATTCAATGGTTCCCTTGATAGATTAGCTAACCTTTGCAGATGAAAGTGATACTCATTTTCAGTATCAGTAACTCTGCTGCTCCGTCCCTCAATAAACAAAAGTTAAGACAAGAAAATTATACAATATTTGTCCAAAAAGAATGCTGACAATGTATGATTAAATCATCTGTAGGTTCAGAAGTTCCAGTGAGCGTTGATGAATTTAGCAAAGCACTTTACTTGATTGACATTGGGCAGAACGACCTCGCAGATTCATTTTCCAAAAATCTCACCTATTCAGAGGTGATAAAAAGGGTTCCATCTATCATTGCAGAAATTAAGAGTGCTATTAAGGTGAGTTCATGCCTTAAGTGGTTAGATAATCTTAGGAACTTTTTCAATAATATTCTTGAGTTTCTTTTCTCAAATTGTTAGTTTTTATTCAATTGGGTAAGCCCGGTAAATGGTGCCTGATAATTTTGATCCCGAAGTCTGGTGTGACTCATACCGGCATTGGTATTATCTTGCTTCTTGCACATTTCCTTTTGAAGGGAATGGCCACATGTCATCTATGGACTTCTACTTATAGAAAGCAGATGCTTCCTCATATAATTGCTAAATGATGCCCGGAGTGCTTTTATCAGTATCTATATTTAACAATTTATGCAGACTCTATATGACCAAGGTGCGAGAAACTTTTGGGTACATAATACTGGACCATTGGGTTGTCTTCCTCAAAAGCTTTCGTTAGCTGAGGAGAAGGATCTGGATGAAAACGGGTGTCTTTCAAGTTATAATTCTGCTGCCAGAATTTTCAATGAAGGACTACTCAAATTATGCCAAGAGATGAGATCTGAGCTGGCTGATGCTACTATCATACACGTTGACATCTATGCCATCAAATATGATCTCATTGCTAGCGCCTCTAAATATGGTAAGCTTGTTAGTGTAGCCCTTCTCTTTTCCATTGAATCATTTGAAAAGCTATTGAAAGTTTTCTGATATTTTAAAAGCAGTATATTAGTGTAATGATTGTAACTGCTCATCCGAGCGATGCATGTAGCTGGTTCTACCTAATCCTTCTTTGGGTCTAAATCTAATAAAAGATTATACCATCAGCAAGGAATTTTGAATGTGGCTCTAGCAATCATTTTCAGGAAGTAATGACCACTTATATCACTCTGCAGGTTTTTTGAATCCGCTAATGACTTGCTGCGGTAATGGAGGACCTCCATATAACTACAATATCAGGGTCACCTGTGGTACACCTGGCTGTGAGGCCTGCAGTAATGGATCTCAATACATCAGTTGGGATGGCATTCACCACACAGAAGCTGCTAACTCCATCATAGCCTCGAAAATATTGTCCACAGCTTATTCAACACCACGGACTCCGTTAAATTTTTTTTGCCGAGGATGGTATGTTCAGGTGAAGCACATTTGAGTGCCCACCACACATCCACGTGCTTTATTGTAGCAATTTTTCACCTTATAGCTATGAGGAGATGGTAACCTCGCATTGCCTGTAACGACAGTTAATGGAGGAATTAGGATGATCGCATCGCTGATCAGTGATTAGACAGATTTAGTTCCTTGCCGAAGCTAAACCGGGTGGCGAAGCATCTGTTAAGTGGCGAACTGGAAATAATTGGAGCATGGGAGAGCGTATGGATGGTCAAGATTCATGGCCAAAGGAACATGTCATTTGAGAGTCCGCTGCTATTCTCCTGCAGAGGGTTCTTGTGTTGTGCTCGTCTACGGTTCTTGCTGTCTTAGAAATGGGTGTTGTAATTTTGTACCGCTTTGAGTCGAATGTCTCTTCTCCAGTGAAGTAGTGTGAATGTAATGTTATTTACAATATGATGGAATAAAAATGTAATCAGCTTCGTGTCTGTTTAGTGGCACACATACATTAATTTTAGAGGAAGCAGCATGCCTCGACATCACGAAGTGTCACTTATCCTATTAGCGAATTGCGATTTAGCTCCCCAAAAAGTACGAGATCTCACGTTCATTTTTTGTTGGCATGATCTCTTTCGAGACTTTTCGTACGGTGCTTATTTGAGCTTAATAATTTTTTTTTTCCAATCAACGAGGGCCATGACTTCTAAAATAAAGACGTTCACTTGAATGTCCGTTCATTTGTGGGTCATGACTTCCAATTAATCATTTGAGTTTTATGAATTTTGAAAAAAGTTCACCGCAAGTGTCATGACATGTTGAATGTCCGACATTATGGTGAACGTTTTTTAAAAAATTGTGTCACACGAGTGAATTTTTAGAAGTCATACCATTATGGTGATCGAAATTTTTTTTATGGCATTTAGTTTGTGCATGTGAAAATCATGACAATTAGGCTTCATTTGTTTCGTGAAAAATAAATGATATACAAAATATTTTCTTAAAAATAATCGTTTATATCACTTAAAATAATTAGTTAATGTAAAATGCTTTCATTACTGATAATAATTTATATCTAAATATATTACTTGATAATGAAAGTATTTTTGTAAATTCATTTTGACTTTGTTTATTTTGCGGAAAATGATCGATTAGAAAATATTTTTGTAAAAATAGTTATTTATATTGGTTGAAGTTATTAGTGAATGAAAAATTTCAATTATTGATAACAATTTATATTTAAACATTTGAGTTGAGGATTCATATGCGGACGAAGTTCTTCACGGTCCCACTTTCTGAACTCATGCAGCGATCTCCGGCACTTGCCCCCGCCTCACGGGTCTAGGACAAATTGATAGTGCGCGGAAGGTGTTCGACCAAATGCTTCACAAGCCTGTTGCATCATGGAATAGCAGGCCCCATCAATGAACTATTTCGGAACGATGCTCAGGTAAGAGGAAAAAACCACGCATCAGCTGAAAGAGAGAGGAAAGAGGTTCCAACTTTTACGGTCTTGGAACTTCGTGTTGCAGATTCATGTGCGGACGAAGTTCGTAATGGTCCCGCGGCGTGCTTTCTGTACTCATGCAGCGATCTCCGGCACTACCCACATCGCCCGCCTCGCGCGTCTAGGACAAATTGATAATGCGCGGAGGGTGTTCGACCAAATGCTTCACAAGCCTGTTGCGTCATGGAACGCGGTCATTGCCGGGTATTTCCAGAACAGCAGGCCCCATGAAGCGCGGATGCTGTTTGATAGGATGCCTGAGAGGAACACGGTCTCGTGGAATGGGTTGGTTTCTGGTTACGTTAGGAATGGGATGATCGATGAAGCCAGAAAGGCATTTGATGTAATGCCCGAGCGCAATGTTGTCTCGTGGACGGCAATGGTGAGGGGGTATGTGCAGGACGGGATGATATCCGCGGCAGAATTGCTCTTTTAGCAAATGCCTGAGAAGAATGTTGTATCGTGGACTGTGATGTTGGGGGGCTTGATTCAAGATGGTAGGATTGATGAGGCCCGTCGGCTCTTTGATATGATGCCTGTCAAGGATGTCGTTGCTAGGACTAATATGATTGGAGGGTACTGTCAGGGAGGACGACTCAATGAAGCAAGGGAAATTTTTGATGAGATGCCGCATAGGAATTTGATCTGCTGGACGGCCATGATCACTGGGTATGCGCAGAATAATCGGGTGGACATTGCTAGGAAGCTTTTCGAAGTGATGCCAGAAAAGAACGAGGTGTCCTGGACAGCAATGCTGATGGGCTATACCCAGTGTGGGCGGATAGAGGAGGCCTCAGAAATTTTCGATGCGATGCCAATGAAGTCAGTTGTTGCCTGTACTGCAATGATCCTTGGATTTGGCCAGAGTGGGGAGGTAGTTAAAGCAAGGCGGGTATTTGATATGACGAGAGAGAAGGATGATGGAACTTGGAGTGCAATGATCAAGGTTTATGAGAGGAAAGGGTTAGAGTTGGAAGCATTGGACTTGTTTGCTATGATGCAGAGAGAGGGGGTCAGACCAAGCTTTCCTTCCTTGATTAGTATCCTATCTGTTTGTGCCAGCTTGGCATGTCTTGATCAAGGAAGACAGGTTCATGCCCAGTTGATAAGGTCCCACTTTGACTTTGATGTGTATGTTACCTCAGTTCTCATCACAATGTATATTAAGTGTGGAAACCTTGTAAGAGCAAAACTGGTGTTTGATCGGTTTGGTGTTAAGGATGTGGTCATGTGGAATTCTATCATTACAGGTTATGCACAACATGGTTTAGGAGAAGAGGCTTTGAGAGTATTTCAAGGGATGTGCTCTTCAATGACTCCACCAGATGAAGTTACCTTTGTGGGAGTTCTCTCAGCATGTAGCTACACTGGGAAGGTAAATGAAGGGCTAGAGATTTTTGATTCAATGAAGATCAAATATCTAGTGGAGCCGCAGACTGAACATTATGCTTGCTTGGTTGATTTGCTTGGCCGGGCTGGCAGGTTAAATGAGGCCATGAATCTAATAAGGGGGATGCCAGTGGAAGCTGATGCTGTAGTTTGGGGTGCCTTGCTAGGTGCCTGCAGGACATATATGAACTTGGATTTGGCAGAAGTTGCAGCAAAGAAACTTTTAGAACTGGAGCCTGAGAATGCTGGACCCTACATCTTGTTATCAAATCTTTATGCATCAAAAGGTAAGTGGACTGATGTTGCAGATTTAAGGAGAAAAATGAGGTCGAGGAGTGTAAGCAAGTCACCTGGCTGTAGCTGGATTGAAGTAGAAAAGAAAGTACATATGTTTACTGGAGGCGACTCTAGGAGCCATCCCGAACATGTTGGTATCTTGAGAATGCTGGAGAAATTGGGTGTGTTGTTGAGACAGGCGGGTTATTCTCCAGATGGTAGCTTTGTGCTTCATGACATTGATGAGGAAGAAAAAGTGCATAGCTTAAGATATCACAGTGAAAAACTTGCTGTAGCTTTTGGGCTTTTGAAGATACCAGAAGGCATGCCTATCCGAGTAATGAAGAATCTTCGAGTTTGTGGTGACTGTCATTCTGCAATCAAATTAATTGCTAAAGTCACCGGAAGAGAGATAATCCTGCGGGATGCTAACAGATTTCACCATTTCAAGGATGGCTCCTGTTCCTGCAAGGACTATTGGTGATGACTCTTAATGTTGATGCTACTAGGAGAGAATCAGACCCAAGCTAAAGTTTACTACGTATCCTGGCTCATTCAACTGAAGATGAGATAAGGCAATCCATCTTTGCTCTAAAATTTGAGCATGCTAGGTGCCAACTTCTAGGTATGTGTGTCTATACCCTATTGGCAGAATCATAAGACTTAGATGGATACAGAATTGAACTTTATTTATGGACTCTCTAAAAAAGATTAGTGGAATATAAATTGATTGACCTATACCTACTTCTTTTTTCGCACAATGTCTGAGGCAGTTTTTGTGATTGGGGAATCTTGCCTAATGTGCACAAATTCTTTTATTTCAAATCTTACCTCAAAATGCACGAATCAATGCATAATTATGCTTAATGATACATATTTAAAGGAAATTATGCTATCTATGTATCCTCTGTTCACTGCGAACTGCTTCCTTGCAGTGACTTGAAAAATTTGAAGATGAATTGGCTAGATGCAAGGATTGATTGGAGAACTATACTGGCCTCAACCAACAGAAGGAAAAAGGTGAACAGTCATGGAATCAAGGTCTCATATTGGGTGTCTAAGCTTTAAGCAAATAAACTTTATCGCCAGCAAAGGGTATCCAAATTGGGGAAGCTAGAGTTTGCACTGTCTGCTCCGGTTCTACTTTGGCATGGCGGTTTTGCCCCAGAAACTAACATGACACCTCCCACATCTTTCTAGACTTTTTAAGTGTTACTACTCTCATGTTGTTACTTGTTGATGAACCGCCGCCGGGGTGTTGTGGAAGTATCAGTTGCAACAATCTTCGAAATATCAGAGCAGCCGGTCAAAAGTTGATTGGTTTGCCACATGGAATCTTGGATAGTAGGTGGTGTCCTTGCTGTATCATTTGGTATTATGCGTTTGTTCTAACATATGCAACCGGTCAACTTCGTTCCTTTTCCCTTTTCCCTAAAATTAACTTTCCTCCTTTTCTAGGTGGTGCTTCTGATTCGACCTTGATGTTCTTGGAAGATGCCGGATCCTCTGCTGCTGCAGTGAGTGGACCCTGACCTTCCTGATCTTTGTTTCAGGCTCGCCTTAGAGTGATCAAAGTGCTGAAGAATTACCTACGTTGTCAGTTTCGTAAGGTCAGAGATGTTGAGTTTTTTCTGTTAGTTGGCTAGAACTTCTACCTTATTTGCTATAAAAATATTTGTGTAACACAAAGGTAATTTGAAGGCAATGCAAAACATTGGATGCATAACATAATTTCAGTAGGCGCAACTTCATGATCGACCTTAATCTAGGATTTTTTTTATTGCGTGGTCGATGGTTACATTCAGAACTACAGGTTAAAGAAATGTTCATATCTTCTATTTTTTTCTCAGGATATCTGAGAAACAGACATGATGGATTCTGCTTGCTTTAGTGTGGCGAAACTTATCTCATTGTTCGTAACGCCTTCTGTCGCGTAGTCATTCGTCTTTCATGTCGGATAGTTTATCGCATGGTCCTGAGCACACGGGAGGATATTGCATAGACTCGTTTCATGGACAGGGCTAATAATACCTTACGAACATAGTTCAATCCCCACAGGACTCCAAAAAACAAAGTTACAGGCTTCACCTATTTCGCGCAACGCTATTAGTTCTGTTTCACACCTCGGCGATGGAACGAGTCTGTATAATGATTTCTCCCTCCCTCTACAGAAGCCAATGTGTTTCCCACCACATTCAGAATTCAAAATATCTAAGTGGAACCCTCGTTCTTGGGTGTCGTTGTCCTCTTTAGGTGTGTCCCCTGACAGTGTTTGACATGAACCAACTAATATGGGATTGGTTCTACATATTTCAGCAGCATCAATGGCGGTTGGCCCTTCTGATGTCATGGACGTTTGCGTCATTCTGACAGGTTGCTTTTGCATGGAGTTGAAATGGGTGTTTTTTTCCCTCGCTGTTCTCCTTATTGACCAATGCACCCCCTCTCCTTTCACGTGGATCTCTCCATTGCCATAATCATTAAGGAGATATTTTGAAGGGTTTTCACACTGTGCATGATTTGATAAAGCAATGGCGCGCAGTGAACTAGACTTTTGCATGATGTGAATTGGGTAGGCTTAGGAGGGAAAGAGAAAGGCTTCTAAAAAAAAGCACAATCTTGTAGGGATGGAGGGGAACAGACGGAGAAATTGGTTGGTAAGGATTAGGTGAGATTAATATGGTATTTGGTTTATTGTATGTACATTTTAAACTTCTACGTAGGGATATGAAGGGATTCGTGTATTTACTTAGCAAATTCCTCTTCCTCGCTTATACCCTTATTTTGCATCCATTTATAAATTCATGAAAGATGCTTCTGTCATAACGCATTCTTATCTTTTCTTTTCCCGCGTTGGTATCCGAACCGAAAGTATAATAAATTAATCCATTCAAATTGTTTATTTTCTTTTCTTGTATAATTGTCTAAGTTTCTTCTTTTCCTTCTGGCCTGAGTCTAAAAAAAGTACCAACTTTACCTTGAGTGACAATTCTGATCCAAACGTTTTTTTTTATCTCATAAGAAATCACCAATCTTCACTTTAAATCCCAAATCTGGCTCGAACAACTTGAAAATTTCACATCACGGGAGCCAGATTTGGGACTAGAGTAAAAATCGATGCTTTTATTCAGACAAAAAACAGTTCAGGTGCTTTTTTTTTTTGGAATTAACCATTTTTTCCTTCCTAATCGCTCCATCTAAACTGAGTACGAGTCTTTTCCAACAAAAAATAAGATGACGCGATATCTAGGCGCGGAGGAGTCTAATTAGTCTTTTTGGGACGACTGTTACTTTAAATTATTATTATTATTATTATTATTATGAATCTTGCGGCTATAACGGTATGGATTTGGTTCAATACAATACACCTTAAGTTTAAAAAACATTAGACTAACATGAATCATACGCAAAAATATTTCTTTTCTATTTTCGTAAATAGAAGAAAAAAAACCTTGCCTCAAAAGAAATTTTCCTTTTCTTTTGCTAGAACCAAAAAGAATTGCATGAACAGTAAAGAGCTGTTCGTGCTCTCTATAGCTCGAGGCTTAGGAACAAGCAAGAGACGTAGCAAATCGTCACAGTTATACCTTGCATGTGTCCAAATCCACCTCGACTGATGACTTTTGTGGGTCACCCGTGGAGTCCACCTATACTTCCATCGATTTGCACGTGTGAGTTCTATTATTTTTTTGGTCGAAAGAGAAGATTTCAATCGGAGTACTTAGGAAGTAAGATATCATTTGGATGTAATACAAATAACATGTGCATCACACGTTCATGGTTGCATAAAAGTTTAGTGCAAACGGTATCCAGCTTAACTCAAAAGATTCTTCTTTTTTGGTCGAATGACGCAAAAGTTTGGATCAACAGTAAAGTGATAAAGACCTTTGGTCCCTCGAGAAAAAGGGGGATATAATTTTTCCAGGAAATCTCCTAATCATGACGTGGAGAACTTATCTTTTAATCAAATTAGTTAGGCGGTGAAAACTGGTCAAACTTTATCCGATTATTAGTATGCTGTTTTTCATATTCGAGAAGAAAAATCGTTCGGAATCGGAGTCCCAACCGGTTGGGTTTGCGCCGTGCCCAGATCGGTATGAGTCGCTGAAATTATTTTATATAAAAATAAATAGATCAATATCACTAGAGAATTTAAATCGGAACGATTTTCGACGCGTTCATATTCGACCCCACCCGTTCAATAAGTCAAATCAAGACAAATGAAATCGAGAAACTGCCTTGGATTCTATGTGGACCCAAAATCTGACTATTATGCAGAGGCCAAATTGAAGTGTAGCTTTTCCGGAGCTTGATAATCTTAGCAAGAATTCCATTGTTTACCTCTTCTCTTTCTCTTGCCTCACACCTCGTTTTGATTTCGCCATTTTTCGCCATCTTCATCGTTGTTACAATTACCGACACGGGTTCCATTATAATAAAATAAAAAGGCGCAAATCGAATGCAGAATCAAGTACAAGAGTATATGAAAATCGAGCCAGCAGCCACCATAAGATATATATCGACTAGATTCGTTCACATTACATTAAATCGATCAGCAAATGAGCCTCGCGATAATGGGATTGAATGAGCAAAGATTTGAACTTGTTCAATACTAAGCTGTCATCTCAAAGAAGTGTCACTGAATTGACTAGAGGGAAAGCTTGAGTTCCAAGTCATTGTCTTCTTTTTGCTTCTCTCGTTTTGCCTTCCCTTCTTCTTCTCCTTCTTTGGAGTTGGAAGGGCCAGCTTGAACTTCAGGAACACTCCCGCTCAGAGACTTGTCGTCTCCCGCAAAATCTTCTGGCCGGAACCTCGGAGTCCAGGCCGCTGCCGCCTTCTTCGCCCACTCTTCCTCTTCCAACCTCGCCCTCTCGCGGGACTCTCTCGCGACGCTCTGGAGCACGTCCTTCGTGCTCCGTATCAGCGCGAAGAACGTCTCCATCTTCTCCTCCTCATCCGCGCCTTCACCGCCTCCGTCTTCTCGACCTCCCTCTTCGCTCCCAATCCTCCTCCTCTTTCTCTCTCCATCATCCATTGATCCTCTTCTTTCACTGCAGTGGAGCTGTGAAACGTGCAGCGAGAGCTTCACTTCTTAATATAGGGGCCATGAGGGCCATGCGGGTCTTTGATTAAGATTTGTGAAAACACGAAGATGACCATGGCAAAGTTGATTGTCCATTTGTCCTCTCGTGGGAACTGAGGGTTTCATGGTAAATTCGCACTGCCCTTAGAAAAGGCTAAACCTGACACATGCAGTCAGACCGTTGACTCGGCTGGCCTCTTCGGTCTGCACTTCGCTTCCTCCCTCGGTTACTTCGGGTCAAACCACCTTCCTATCCTTGCACCTAACACAAAACGTCGGTGCCTGTTCGTTTTTACTGAAGCTGCAACTTATGCAGAGTTCACATCTGTCCTCCCCTTGTATGATCGTTTCTCTTGTTTTCTTTCTCGGTCGACTGGTGCGGTCTGATACGGTTGCTCAACGTCGAAATACGATTACACTATCAACTGAATGAGGGTTCAAAAGAATTTTCAAATGGTTGAAGATTTTGCTAAACTCATCCACAATTCCAATTTATTTGCCATGTTCTTCATCCCACTGTTCACACAATTACAGTTACTGCTCACATACATCAACAGGAGAGAATCTTTTCTTTTTGTTTTCAACTTTTCTTCTGTGGTGCACTTATGGGATGGATGCGCTCGCTAGTTGTCGGCCCACCCAACCCCGTGTTTGGCCCAAAGATAGTAAGCTCCAGTAGGACCTCGGCCGCCCAATTCGTAGATCTCCGGCGCAATATTCCTCTTGTCTATCTCTTGTAGGACTGGATTTAGTATATTCCACGTGGCCGCAAGCTCGTCGCTCCGCATGAACAGATGGCTGTCTCCATCTATGACGTCGAGGAGAAGATGCTCGTATGAATCAGGCACCTCCACGTTATACCTAACACAATCCATGCCAAAACCATCACATCATGGAGTAAATTAGAATGGTATCAATGTGGAGAGATCTTGTAACCAGGACTTACTTGTCCTTGTATAATAAGTTGAGTTCAGATGCATCTAAGTGCAAGCCCAGCCCAGGCATCTTATTGTTCACTTTAAGTAGGATGGCTTCGTCAGGTAAGTCGCGTAGAATCAGCTCATTAGTGGCGAGGTCTACATTATGCCCCAGACATTCCCGATAGATGTTTCCAGGAACATGATTGAATTGTACGCGTATCTCCACCCTGCATAACATGGACCGTCGAAGCAAATACATCACTGAAGTGTAGAATGATGGACTTACATTACAGAAATACAATATAAGCGAAGTTCGCAAACCTTAAAGCAACGAAGGGTCGTATCTAACTTTACAGTGTTGAAAGAAATGTCAATCTCTTCAAAGCAATTATGAATGAGTCTGACCTGTGCTTGATCATTCCCATGCCAGTCCTAACCATGAAGGGCACACCATCCCATCTTGAATTATCAATAAAAAGTGCGGCAGCAAAGAACGTCGGAGTCAAATCATTCAGATATAGATCAACATTGTTCCCAGAAGTAGCTTTATATTGACCAAGAATCACATCATTAGGCTCTAAGCTCCGTATCGATCGCAGAACCTTGACCTGGACAAGAAACTCCTAAATCAGCATGTACAGATACCTCTTATTGGGTGGATAGCATAAGAATCTGCCAATGTACCTTTTCATTTCGTATATCCTCACCATCAAGACTTACTGGGGGTTCCATGGCAAACAATGCTATCGTCTGAAGGACATGACTGTGTACAATGTCGCGGATGATCCCATAACCCTCAAAGTACCTGCATGAGGGTGATAGTTATTAGGGAACTACATATCCAAGTCTAACGTACAACGACCATTACATACTTTCCTGCTGTCACAACTGAATCTTCAGATAAGATGACCTGCAAAGTCATTCAACGGCTTATGACTACTTCTAGTGCATGTTAAATTTCAATGTATGAAGCAAATGGAGAAAACTATACATTACCTGTACATGACGTATGTATTTTCGGCTCCAGAGCGGCTCAAAAACAAGATTGGAGAACCTTAAAACTGTAAGATTCTCAATTAAGTTCCTTCCTAAGAGATGATCGATCCTAAAGCAACATAGACAGATTAAAGTTCATAATAGTAAAACCTGTTCCTTGCATTCTCACTCTAAGGAATACATGCATGTACATGTGCAATAGAAGAATGTAACCAGTACCTGTATATTTGATTCTCCTCAAACTTTGAAAGAAGTAACTGTGACAGCTGATTCGAAGATGGTGCATCAAAACCAAATGGTTTTTCAATTATTACGCGATTCCAGCCTTTCTGGGTTTGGGCGTAGTTTGCGAGGGTTGACGTGACATCTACAAGTGCTTCTTGTGGTACAGATAGATAAAATATCCTGTTTGCTTCAGAGTTCCCCTGAGGTAGATAAGCTGTTAAATGAATGTCAAAGAGACTGAATTTATATAACCAAAGTAGAATGAGGTCTATAAGAACATGAAGAAGTCCAAACGACAGTGGTATCCAGCTTTACCTCAAGCAGCTCCATCCTGGCATCAAGTTTTGACATCCCTTCGTTGTTGTCGTATCCCCCATAGAGGTAAAATGTTTTACTAAGGAAACTTTCCATCTTCTCCGCACAATTTTGCCTAGAACAGTATGCATACATGCAATGCCAGTCAGTCAAGGATTCGGACCACAATAGCTTACAAGGGAAAACTGAAATGTAACAATCATGGTAACAGAAACCTAATCTTTTTAAGATATCACTGGATTTGCAGCCCTGATTGAGATAGAAAAACAAAGTTTCCTGTATCACTTTTCAGAAAAGTCGAAACTCTCCCGTAGTATCAGATGGGTTCTGATGGTGGCCCAAGAAACTATCAGGACAGTTTGAAACCTGTGAACAATTGAGTCTCCTAAGTAATTTTTAGCAAGCACAAACCAAGCGATCAGCTCATAGTATATTTATGCTTCTTAATTAGATTTTTTTCAGGAATGTCATCCTATAAACATACTTTCTTAACAGGAACAAGAAGTAAAAATTTGATGTGCAACGTATTAGAGTTCCATACTGATGATCAATTCGGCAAGTCAAAGTTGAAGATATCATCGATCTCAGATCTTCATCTGTCAAATTCTTTCTCGAGTAACCAATAATATAGATGTTCTGTATGCACAAAAACAAAAGAACTTCAGAGTTACAAATTCATCCAATTCTGCTCACAAAAGATTCTTAAGATCCCCTACTATTCGATAAGATGGCCTAGTTAAAGCAGGCAACAATCCATCTGAACAGAGAGGAATCTCACTTTTATTTTATCACCAAGAACATCTTTGTGATTCATCTTTTGTGTGTCAGCCAATATGTAATAAATAGCTGAAGAATAAATGACATACAAAATCAGAGAGGTGAAACAAGTAGAATAAGTAATGAATGAACAAAAATACAGCTGTTACTGACACAAGGAAAAGAACAGACAAAGAGGACAAAAGCAAAGCTCTTCCCACTAAGAAGAGTTGACAGGATACATATCAGACTATCTCCAACAAAAGCCATATGGATTTTCACCATGATGAATACCGACGTAAGTGCAACTATCTCTCAAACAGCAGTTTACCTCAGGAAGGAAGCCACTATAGTATAGAGCGAACAGAGCTGGGAAGATCTTTCTCTTTGCCAACTCGCCCGTAGCTCCTATAACTGCAATGCAGAGGGATGATTCTCCATCGCCCTTTACAGAGAAACTGCAGGAAGGCGCTTGTCGCAAAGATAAAATGGATTTTGCCAAAGCGACCACGCTCTTGTCAGGAGGAGACTGAACATATTGTAAAGAAGTTCTCTTGGACTGTAAGCTGTCCTGAGCTGCTTCTCCAATGAAATTTGTGAGTTGCATACTCAACAACATCTTACAAGGTAACATAGGAAAATTCAACTACAACACAGCAGTTCAAATCACAAAAGGAGAAAATATTGCAGACCTAGTTTTAGTCATAATTCATCCGATCAATCAATATGCTAGAAAAATAGGATTTATGGCATTATGGCTTACCATAATGCAATTTTAACGTTGATGCTTCTTCAGGTGTCAAGGCTGATTGAGAAGGATCTGCACCTCGATCTTTCTTTTGATTTTTTATACCTCCAAATTTGTTAGATCTACCAAGTTTTGCAGGTCCTGGCTGAAGGTTTAACCTCTGGAGTATCCACAGTTTCAGACCACAAAATCTTCTGCAGAGACTCGTAGCACCTCCAGACACAATACGATGCTGATGAAAACTGCATGCAAGCAAATTTTTTGGAACCTAAAAGCACCATGATTAGATACTCAGTTCACATGTTCAAGAAAATTCCTCAGCTACATTTTTCCAACATCTTCACAAATCAACTTCTAGTGACCACCGTACAAACCTGCTAGCCAAGCGTAACTCCATTTCTTTAGAAGCATCTTCCTATTTAGTAACACAATATGTTCTTTGTCTTAAGCAAATTCATTAGGTTCATCAGCTTTTAACAGCCTAAAGTTTCATCAAACATCAAAATTAGTTGTCTACTTGATACAGATATGATGACACCTACATAGTAAAGCTAGTAAATGCCAACATTAACTCCATTGATCCTGTCCGGTTTAAATATATCGTAAGGTAACACACATTTCCATCTCTTTTTGAATTCTGGAGAGATTTTTTATGGCAGCCCAAAGCATATGAAATAATACATCCACTAGCACTACTTAAGACTGAAATCCTATCTCAGATTGCTCAAAATCCCTACATATAGTGGCAAGCTCTTGCCTATCGTTCGAATTGCTCATGTGGGTTCTTCTCTGAAACCACTCAAAAAGTTCCAAAATCTGAACTACAAATACACCCTCTCCTAGCAAGATTTACTCGCTTGCAGTCACTTGCTATTGATCCCAAAGCACACCCATTTGAGCATCACAAATAAGAAGCAACACGAGTCGTAAAAATTTCCCATCTTTAGCGTAGAGCTACGGTTGCATAAAGTAGAGATGGGAAACATGTATCCGAGATAAAGAACTCACGGTCGGGCGCGAAACGATCGGTCCCGCGAGCGAAGATTCTGGGTGGAGTGAAAATGACATCGACATCGGATGGTCTGACTAAAGCTCGAGCCTTTCTGTCATGCGTGCACATCGGACAAAGAAAAGTTAGAGAAATTTTCCAAGGAAACTAAGGCTTCGTCACCCCTGTTTTTTGCCTGTCGGTACTCGGCAGTTCGCAGATTGCACGAGCCTGGAAGCGAAAGAAGAAGAATCTATGGGTCGCACCTGGTTGTGGTCCTGCGGGTCGTGGCCGTGGTTTATGGAATGATTGGAGGGGTTCGAGTTCCCTTTTTTGTTCATTTTCATAAATCTATCAAGCCAAAGTTTTGTGAATCATATACTTGACTTCTTCTGTAAGTGAGATTTATCCCATTCTACCTCCTACTTAATTCAAGTAAAAATTCGACAAAATTACTTGAGATTTATCCCAAATCATAATAAGATTGCAAAAATCAATCGTTGAGATCTCACCGTTCTTGAAAAATTGGCTCGCGTTTTCCTTCCGATTCACTTCAAAAATGGTCCAAATCCATGCTCCTTACCTGTGCTCATGTCTCAATGTCATTCTTAGGGTCGGCTGTCAAGAATTAATAGAAATGACCAGTTTCGAAATGGGTAGGTCTCAAATCAAGAATTTGGAATTTAATAGGTTCTTGATAAAATCGGTCTGAAACTAAATCAGCCGGTTTCAAAGATAAATCTCACTACAGGAGAGACAATGTAATTTAGGATGCCCAACTCGCTTCAATTTCATCGAACGCACACTCAAGCGAGATTTCTCTAGGGGCAAGAGATTCCAAAGTTTGGCCCCTTTTTGGCGATTACGTGTTGAGTTCTCTTAAGCCATGATGTTAGCATTCATACCTATCTCGATGGAGTTTCTACCAAAATAATCACTTCATATTTGAAAAGTACTAGAAGAAAACTCTAAAAGAGCAGCAATACAATAGTATAAAGAAGTGGCTCAATGGATTTTCTCACAATCACCTAGCAAAAGTCGGTCCATCAATCATCAACAATCATGTTGGGTGGACTCATACATCTTGTTAAAGGCTTTTGATCCAGAAAAAAGGAGAAAAACAGAAAAAGGCAAAGTTAAAGACTGTTCCAATTTCTGCAGCTAATTTTTTATTGAAATGATTACACGCCAACCCCACATCTCAAACTTCTTCTAACCTGCATACTTATCACATAAAAAAAAATCGCAACTTTTTTTAATTGAACAATGGAGATAAGAATCCCAAGACTTTATACATAACTGATTTTCGAACCGATTTTATTGAAAACGGATTCTCTTTCGGTGCTCGAAAACAATGTATTCTTTTAAATACTCACCAATAATCCGTCGCGCAATTTTGAAAACCATAACACGGCTTTATTTTATGGTTACCATTTCTCTTGACATATCATCTAATCTTATTTCAAACAGGAGAATTTAGAACAGCATTTCATGGGAAGAAAGTGCTCAGTGACAAAACGACAGTTCAGAGGATAAACGGGGTTGTAAGAGAACCGTGCACTGTCTGCAGTCGCCTCACCCTCGAGCCAAACGTTAATCAATTCCACGCCACGCCCGCGCGAGCCCCAGCGATGGAGCCACCTCCATTCCAAAACCAAATACGAAGACGAAGACAACCCTTCTTCTTCGTCCTCTTGACAGTGACCCGCCACTAGCACGTTCCTTGTATTAAGATATTATCCATCTCCCGTCTTTTCTTTATCTCTTGTGCTGAATCTCTCTCTCTCTCTCTCTCTCTCTCTCTATCAGGTTCCAGAGTTGAAAACCAACTTCGCTTTCTGATAAGATAGGGATCGACCCTTTTCAATTCAATCATCCTCTCCTCTCCTCTCCCTGAAGGGTACGCAGGTTCTCTTTGTTCTTATCTTTTTGGCTGCTTAACTTTTCAATCCATAGGGTAGTCGTCACAAAGTCTCGAAGTTTCTGAGGTGGGTCTCGCGCGTTGAGCTTGCCCGATCATCTGGGTCGTCGGAGAAGGGCCGATGCTCAATTGGGTTCGATCCGTCGGCACTCTGATTTGACCGATGAGTTGTAATGTTCATGTTGGTCGGAATAAAGATTGCTTTTTTGATGATCCATCCTCTGTTTCTGGCGTGGTCCGTCAATTTAATCAATTTATGCTCCAAATGCCTCTTCTCTTTCTATTGTCTCGAGGTGATCGTTGGGCTTGTTGCTCTCATACATTTCCTGGGTTTCCCGCTAATTGCGGTTACTAAATCAGTGCATCAGCATTTTTTTGGTAGACTTTATTGTGCTAGTGTTGGATTGAACACCATCATTGACTTTGCCTGTTAAGGGATAGATTTTGCAGCAGGACTTAGAGTTGGCATGTCATGTCCTGCAGCTATGCTGTAATCTCATGGTCACGATTTTTAGATAGATTATTGTGAGATCTTTGCGTCACTTGAATTTGCGATCAGCTACTTTTCAATGGAGTGCTTGACTGGTGCTTCATTGTAGTCTAAACAAATTATTAGCATCATTTTCTATCTGAGATTGTGCTGAAGTGATAGTCTACTAATCGTATCTTATATTTCAACCATCCAAAACAGGTGCTTGAAGGTGAGCTTCCATCTCGACGCGATAACAAATTATTAATTTATAATTCAGTTGCAAGAAAATGGGTTCGGAAGGGCCTCCAGCTGTGACAATTCATATGACCGGTTTTAAGAAGTTCCATGGAGTTCCTGAGAACCCAACAGAGACAATTGTGAGCAATATAAGAGAATATATGAATAAAAGGGGTTTGCCAAAAGGATTGACTCTTGGAAGTTGCAGCATTCTCGAGACAGCTGGACAGGGGGCAGTGGCTTCTCTCTATAAGACTTTACAATTGGCCATAGAGGAAAATGATTCCGAATTAACAAATTCGAGACGAGTTATCTGGGTGAGTTGCTTCACCCGTGAAATACCTAGTCTTGTTAATTTCACTTTGGTCTTCCCCAATTATTTATCAATGACAGCATTTTACAACACATCCCATCCCAGAGTTATCCTTTTCTGAGTCGCATTAGTGGAATCTTCAGAACTTAAATGACTGTGTGTTGCCAACATACATTCTCTGATATCAATCTTCAGGTACATTTTGGGGTCAATAGTGGTGCCACAAAATTTGCTATTGAGCATCAAGCTTTTAATGAAGCTACTTTTCGCTGTCCGGATGAGATGGGATGGAAGCCTCAGGTGTATACTCATCACGCTTTCCTGCTTTTGTACCTATGTTTTGTTTGATCAGTTCATTCTTCATAAGTTATACTGTTTGTTCAATGCCTTTGATTCTTTAAAATTTGCAGAAAGTCCCCATCATCCCTTCAGATGGTGCGATTTCTCGAACACGTGAGGTAGAGCTAATTTTCTGTTTTTTATTTTTTTGTTCCTTCTTCCTAATGTTTATGCTGGACTGGCATTGGTCAGCTGCAATTTCGGTCCTTTTAGCGTTGATGCATGTGCTTAGTTCTTCTATTGTGTATGTTAATCCTATAAATAATTTCCATCTTAATAGAGAAGATGCGTGTAATTTTATGGCTGAGTAGCAGGATGTGTTTATGTGATCTAAACAAATGGAGCATATATTCGCATACTTTTTGTTGCCAATTCTGTGATATTTGCCTGAAATACCTCATTGGGTCATTTTGGTTTTCTTTGATGGAATTAAACATCCAAATCCTTACCTGCATTTGTTGCATATCTCTGCATAGATGTAATTTTCTTCCGACAATCAACTAATCTTGTCAATTTTGTACTTAAGGAGTCCATTATGGGTTTTTTTATTCCACTGTGTTTTCCTAATTATGAATCATCCATAATTCCAACAATTATGATTTTCAATGATATCTTCATAGCACTCACACGTAATGGAGGAATAATACAAAAGAGACGCAAAAATTTAGGGGTCTCCACATTCCTTGTTTCTTGCTTTAATTTATTTCTTGATCAAGAGTTTCCCGAGCTTCTCCCGGATGGGAACCCTTTACACTGTCATTTACTGAGCATAGCATGAGTTGTTTGCTGAAGTGACTCAACTGGACTGTATCTTTTGAAACATTTATTCAGACTAAGGTTTCGAAGAAGTCTTAGACTAATGATCTTGCTTAGCCATTAAGAAGATAATATTGTACCTCTTCCTGTTTCTTCTGGGTCTGTTACTCTACAGTCAGTAATTGAAGAATCAAGTTCAATATATGAAAACTTTTTGCTGGTTTAAAGTGTATGGACATTTAAAGTCAATGGACACAACATCACTAAAATTGAGTTCTAATAGTAAGATATTGCACTGAGTGAAAATTCAAAAAGCAATTTGGTGAACATTCAGTTTGGTTAATCCTCCATTAATTAATGAAAAGGTTCAGGAAATAGCTTCTTCACGTGGAAAAAAATGTAAACGATGATAGCAAATAGTGAATGGTTGGCTATTGGTGTTCTTGGATTCACCTTCATGTTGATTCACCTCCATCCAGCTACTTTTGCTATTAAGTTAAGCAAAAAATTGAAAGTTCCATTGCATACGGTGATTCTCATTTGAATTACAACAGTATCAATAAGTGTTTTTCGGCTGAGTGGGTCCACTTCTTAGATTTTCTTGCACAGTTGCTCTCTATTTAGATGGATTGTCTTCAATAAGAATCAAACAGTGAAGACCTTCCCTTAAGTTCTTTGGCCCTGTGTGTTTTAAATTTTCCTTTACCTAACCCATGTCCTTGTCATAAAGTTGCGTCTTCTCAGGAGCATCTGAAGGTTGTCTTTTCATGTATCCAAAACCACCTTAAACAAATGTCCTTAGCTAGTGCAACGCCAAATTTTTCTTGGTTATCCTCATTTCTAGTTCTATTTTCTTTTTCCTGGTGACGGCATATCAAGTGAAGCATTTTCGTTTGCAATAAACTAGTTGTTTGCACTTATTCTTACTTAATTGTCTTAGTTCGACAGAACTTGCCCTCAAGTTTGAATGGCAGTTCTCCTTTGAATGGATAGCAATTCTTCTTGTCAGATGTATTACTGACAATTGTGGATCACTTGGACCTTGTGATGATTCTCTTCTAGTATTATTTTTTATTTTTCTTCTCAAACTGCTACTGTAGCTAATCTCTAAAGCTGTGGCTATGATATTCATTTTGCTTCATAGATCCTGCTGTGCGAATGTTTGGATCATTTAATCTCCTGTATTTGATATGGAATGCTTTTGTATTGTTCTACTTCATGCAGACCTCTCTACCCATTCAGGAGATAGCACAGGCCTTGTCAAAGAAGGGCTATCACGTCATGACTTCTGATGATGCTGGTAGATTTGTGTGCAACTACGTCTATTATCATTCCCTTCGCTTTGCAGAGGAAAATGGGATCAAATCCCTCTTTGTCCATGTGCCTCTCTTCTTCACTGTAGATGAGGAGACCCAAATGCAATTTGCTGCCTCCTTGCTGGAGGCTCTTGCTGCTTTTGATTAGCAGAACATCCACCCATTTTTTTTTGGTTCGCCATTAATGTGAAGGTGGATGGGTGTAAAGAAGGAATGTTTATGCATAGTAAGTTCATGCAGAATGGAAAAACCAAAAAAAAGTTATTGTGGGACACTGTTCTCATATATTTGCCTTGATGTTTGTCAGAAGGGTTTTGATCGCTTCCAAATGTAAGTGATCTTTGTGTGGGGATGTCAATAAATTTCTGATGTGCTTGGATCTGAACATATTTTCTCAACTGAAGTCATCATCGCCTGATTTTTCTTCATCCTAGGTCAATACTACTGTCATTGTAGAATGTGTTGTCAAGACTTTAGATATACTGAATTGTTCCTGCATACATGCTATCATCAGTCTTGCTTAAATTATGAAGTATTATTGCATTTGAGGCGCGGAAGTGACTGGAAAGAGCCAGGGCGCTTAATTACCACGCTCTATATTTGCTCCCCTTCTTCGATAACTAAGGGATCTATGATGGAACTCTGCTTGGTCTCATGTAACGGTGTATTCTGGTGTAGTTTATCCGGGAAAGGTTCTGGTTTATTCTTAATATCCTCTGAAGGTTATTAAGTGCTGTCATGCAGGCTACGTCTCAGTTTCATATGCCAAGTTTATGGCGTAGTATAAAGGATTAAAGACAATTTTGTTGAGGCTTTTGTTAATCTGTGATGGTGAAGTGGATCGATCTTGTGATGGAATGATTGCGAGAAGACCGTGGGGTTTGCTGCATTCCCAATGGAAGCAGGTTATAGTAACCGATAAGTCCATTAGGGATCGATTGGTTTGCTTCGATGCTGCCACTCTCTTTCCAGTTGGAAACAGTCCAGCATTTCAAACGCCCTCTTTCCAGAAGGATGGTACTTCTATATCTTCAAGATTACTATTGCAGGGTAAACGGCAATTATCGCCTTCTAGTTAGGTCGACTGAACCTCAAGAAGTCGCGGAGTAAGTCCAAAACCATCCCAATCCTGACTCCGGTTATTTTCGCAGCATTAGGTCCAGCCATAGACCTGCCAAAATTGGTCGACTTGACTTGCCTTAATACAAACTAAACGATAAATTGTTGAATATGCTGAGAGGTACGCGAATTCTCACTTGTCGCTTCCATGAAAATTGCATGAGTAATCTTACTTTTACAAAAAAATACGAACGTTAGGGAGTTTAAAAAATAGGGCAGACAGGTTCGGTTCTCGAGGTACTCAACGGTGTTAGAAGCTTGAAGTATAATACATCAATACTCCTCAAAAAGCATCCACAAGAATCACTCGGGTCAGCAGAAAAGGAGCGTGATTGGGATCATCATCGAGTGTGATGTATGATGTGGAGAATATTCTGGTAAAGGCGAGCACTTTTAGTGATCTTTGCACTAATTATGGTGAAGGCGACGTCCTGTCCTTCTCCTTTATCTCCTTGTTCTTGATCTCTTTTATTAAACTTATAGTTAGTACCAAGATGAGATGCGATACCTTGAACATGTCTACCCAGTTGAAGTTAAAATAAGCTAAGAGCTGTCTTCTGGATGGATGGCTGTGGCTGTGAGTGGGCTGTTGGCTTTGATAAAAACTAAGCTCCCTCTCGTGCACCGACCCACCCTTTTCTTGGCCTCATGTCATCGCTACAGTAGAATGCGCACGCATGCCTTTGGCCTTGATTTGCTTTTCGTGCGTAGGCTTGAGAGAGAGAGTCTGAGCCTCAAGTCTGATAGCACCCACAAGAGCACAAGCCGTCCTTGTGCCCTTGGACTTCCACCATGCCTCAAATCTTCTGAGTGGACTAACTGGAGTATCTCTTCTGATCATTGTATGTTATCTCTCTCACCTTTTAACCTCCTCTCATTTCACCTCCATACATACATTTTCTCTAGCTGTATAGACCAGAACTTTTCTCTCTCACTTTTCAGATTATTTCCACTCCTATTATGGGTCATCGCTTCTCATAGTTACATCTGTATGGTTTGCACAACATCTTGAAGTACCAATGATAAAGTGAAAACTCTCCAGACACAATATAGTAATTATAGTGTCCGGACCGTCGTTACTGTCGAGACGCAACACATTGACATGGTGATGGCCACTTTGGAGAATTTGGGCTTGTCAAACTCGACCTCGTGGATGGGAAATACTCCCTGCAAGGAGCAGGTGCTACTGGAGCCTTCCTCCGAAATCGACACAGATAGCGGTTTGCTGGGCATATCGAACAATTGGGAGTCACATACTAAATTACCTCACTAAGAGTTCTGGTCACATCACTTTTGGTGTAACAATTAGAGACCAACTGAAGTGGACAACGCATGCTGTGAAGTATGTCACCTCTCGAATGGCAAGAACCCACGGGCTCTCCTTTTACTTTCCTCTTCAATTAATCAATTGTTTATGCGATTTTTCTTTCCCGAATTGGGCCATTCACTAGTCCTCAGCAGCCAAAATTAGGGTCGTGGCATCATCTGACATGGCTCAGCGGCCAACTGCTATTAGTAACAATTCAACTTAAAGTTCTTTTCGATTCCAAAAGGTGGCTCCTTATGGTCCCCCAATTCGACATTTTTTTTTCCAAATAAGAGCCCACATTGGTCCATTCTTCGTTTTGTTTTTTGGCAATGTATGCAATTATCTTTTGCACTTAGTCCCCAATCAAATATGCCCCCACCTCCCCCTTCAACATATAGAGCCAATCTCGCATGCATATGTTATTAATCTCCTTGCACATTTTCTTTTCTAGTGGTCGATCCACGTCTCTATCCTCTTTTTCTGCATGTTTAAGCATCTCTTTAGTTAAGTACAAATATGAATACCCTGACAAATACTCAAGTTAAGGTAGATTAGTTAGATATAAATTGAAAATACCGTATCGCCGTTGTTCTCATCGATTCGGATACGTTGAACACCAAGAAATATGCAGCACATAAAAATATTCGACGGCAAACACTGGAATCTCATGTAATTATGTCACTTTAGAGTCTTGTTCATTAAAATATCAATCTACAATCGGTCTACCGTTGAAACATGATCGAATCGCGTGACGGTTTACGTATTAATTTAGTTATGTAAATCTATGTAACTCGACCAATTTAGTCAATTAGACTCTACATTTTTGTTAGGACCCAACTACTATAGCCATTTGGTACAGGCTGAACGTCGCCCACGGGATCATGGGAAATTTCTCTTTCAGCATGGGATAGTTGCATGCTAATGTTGCCAAGTCATTTTCCTATAGATATCTGACCCTAGACCTCGTTATAGGACGCATGTGAAAACATATCCGGGAAATTTCCTCCCATAGTGCACCGTTCAATGCATGCCTTGACAAATTGACCTAGGCAATAAGCATGCGGGTCATACTTCAGTCTTAAAACTTTTGATGTGCTATATGGTTTGCAAATTGAATTAAGAGCAACATATCACTAAGAACTATTATCTTTCTTAATTGATATCTAAATAGACTCTACATATTTCTTGAGTACGATGATTTAGTCTAGACAATATTATATATTAACCCCACGTGGATCAACAATGATCAACATCAGTCTGTATTATCTTCTCCGGCATTCCCTCCACCAAGCACATAGCTGGTGGGATTGTGAGTGTCTGCATAATCCCATAAGCGTTCCAGCAAAATGGGTTCAAGAAGTATTCCCCCTGCGCCGGAAGCAGCTCGATCTCCGAGAGCGTCAGGTTGGTGCACGGGATCGCATCGCTGCACCCAAAATGCATCGGCGGGCTTCGGACGTCATATGTGCCCTTGATGTTGGAGTACAAGATGTCAGAAACGTAGACCGCCGAGGTCTGGTTGGCGCACACCTTGGTGAGGCAGTAGTATTGGTCGATGATGATCGGGTTCCGAACCGAATCCATGTGGATGTTGTCGAAGGTCACGTGAGAGACGGCACCCGAACCGCCCTGCCACGTCTTGATCCGGACCCCGTTGTCCGAATGCTTGATCACAGAATCCGTCACGGTGATGTTCGAGACGCAGGCGTGGGAGTTGCGAACGCCAAGACTGCCGATGCTGCACGAGTGAAAAGGAAACTGATCATTGGAGGAAAGTAAGCTAAAAAGTAGTGGGACATACAGACATTGAAGCCCACACAAGTCATAGGTTATATGAATTTATGTTCAACAATGGTGGCTAGGAGTTAAGATGGAGGGAGAGAACTATGCTGTAAAGGGAAAAGGCTGTTCAAAATTTTAAATAGCCACTAATCAGTACCTTTTGTCGTCTATGATTCACACCTTTAAGTGTTAATTCATGCTTTTTCATAAAGCTTTAAGCACTATTCAGATCATCAATTGCCGTACCTTATTCCATGACTAGGACCGCAAGTTATGTTTCTTATATTAACGTCATAGCAACCCGCTCCAATGGATACGCAGTCGTCACCTACAAAGGCCAGTCAATTAAATTAAGGCTGTGATAATGTGGCCGGATAAGCCATTTTGTTCTGAAACTATAAGGATTGAGCCTGTTACCATTAGAGATCATTGAATTGTATATTCCCACACTGTTCGTGTTCTCTATATGAATCCCATCCGTGTTTGGACTCTGAGAAGGCGCCTTGATGGAGAGCGATTCGATGAGGACGTTGCGACAGCCATCAAATCGGAAATGGAATTGAGGGCTGTCCTTGATTTTAAGTCCCTGAACTGTCAAGTTGGAGCTCATGAAGAACCTTATGGCCTGCATTACAAAAAGGTCAATCATAACTTAATAAATTTATCCTTGACAAGGTGATGAATCTTTGTCCAGAAAACTTGCAGTGTCTCTGACTTACAACTGGGCTGTCACAAGGGCCAGGCATGGTTGTTCCATTTATTCCCTGTTCCATTATGCATACAATAAGAGTGTAAGTACTAGTAAATTAATTTATAAATACAAGATAATAGAGATTCTGCTAGCTTCTAAAGGCACTGCCTAGTGTCGTCTATATGTTGTGGTTTAGCTTACTTTGTGTGGCTTACAAGGAAGATTCCACCATTTCTCTCCTCTCCCATCTATTAGCCCGCCTCCTTGCATTGACATTCCATTGATCCTGTAAAAGACCAGCCACTGCCTCTTGCTTATGCGCTGCGGCCACAAGTCGGGACCGTCCGGTGGCATTATAGTTCCGTCAATCTGTGAAGTGTGAATGCAAATACACGGCCAATGTTAGATAACTTGAGTACTTGTTGCCAAATGCAACGCCCGTTTCTTGATAGAGGACATCATCAACAATTACCTGGAAAACAAGGTTGGCTTTGCAAGGCCCTGTGAAAATGGTAGACTGTATCATGAAGGAATGGCCACGAGGGATGAGCAGAGTGGCTGACTCGGCGTCGCAAGCCGCGTCCCAGGCCATCTTGAATGCATCCGTATCGTCGGTGACTCCGTCACCTTTGGCACCAAACTTTCGCACATCGAACGCAGAAAAGGAATCTGCATCGCCACCATTGTAACTGGGGCTAGCAGCATTGGCGGGCTCAGGGGACGGAGAGGGCGGTGCCGAGATATGAGACACGGCAGGCAAATTCTTTTTTTTCGTGTGGTGACTGTGAGTCCTCCCATCAGTTGGAGGAAGCAACAAGATGAGTGACAAGAAAGTGAACACAGCAAGAGAAGCTAGTGAGTGTGTCATGGTGAAGAGAATTGCAAACTTGGGCAAAGATGAGTGACTAAGGTGATGGGAGAAATGTGTAGATATTTAAAGAAGTCACAAAACTATCACTATCCTAGAATAGGCTCTTTTTTTCCACTAGGGCTTAGCACGTAGCCGTAACTCGAGTTCACGCTCAATTATTCCTGGAATTCAAGGAACCTGACTCAGATTATGACAGGGTTGTGCTTTTCTGAAGTGAACAAAGAGGCATGAGAAGATGAACCCACGTTTTGGGAAGTCCTGAAAACCAAGTGGGACTGGAGCTACACCGAGCATGTGAAAGTGATGACCACTTTGTGATGAGACACTAGAACAAGTTGCGAGGTTGTTCTTTTACACGCACACGCGCAGTGGCTAGTTTCGAGAGTTGGAGGATGCTGGTTGAGAGACTGCCGGGAGTTTAAAGCCGGTTTTATACTGGGAAAAGATTTGGTTAGTGGGAGGTTGCTTTTCTGGAGGGTCGGTCCTAGTGCAAGGATTATAATAATGACACAAGACCGACCAATTCCATTAGAGGATTGGCTTTCGTTGGTGGCTGAGAATAGTGGGAGCTGCACATAGCATTTGGGCATGCATGAGAGAGAGAGAGAGAGAGAGTAAAGCTTGGAGGAGAATATTTGGAGTTTGTCAGATGTGGGTTGTGTGGGAATTGCATTGGGAAGGCCAAGCTTCTGCAGAGTGAGTTATAGCCTTCATTCTCTTCTGTTGTTGGGCCAAAAAAAGTACAAAAAAGTAGTAGTGAAGCAATTCGAGATGAGCCAAGGTTCCAAAATCAGTCACCCCAAAAAGGAGGATGTTCTTTTCACTTCTAAGTGAGGGCTGAGGAACACATGCAGTTTTTTGGTGGTACCATCATGATGATTCACCCACTTCCAAAAAGCTTCAATGGCAGTTTCTAACTTAGAGTGGCCCTACATTGGAGGGTTCATAATTTTGTAGTTTTCGCATTCTTATTGCACAATATTTAATTAGACGAGCAATGTTAGGTATATTAAGAAGGTATAATAATAACCGACATAACGAAGGATGTGATGTGGCCTTCAATTTTGTGACGGAGTGCTCTCAACACGAAAACGACAGCCTTTTCCTAGTGCCACATGAAAAGAATATGAAACAAATTAAAAATATGTTCAAAAAATTAAAACCGAAAGTAAAACCTTAAACTCTCCAAGCGTTGGAATGTATATTTTGCAGTTTAGTGGATTGAAACAAATATAAAATCGTTGGACTCGAGTCTTGTAAATTCTTTCTCAGCAACTTTTCTCTGTCTTGCCTTCCTTGGTGGCATTCATAGTAATGTAGGATTCTACGCCTGTTTAATGGTCTTCTTAAGGGCTGTCACCGGACTGGATTTCTCATATTTCGAGTGAAGTTTTCTCTGCGAAATACTAGTTGCATAACCTTCAAGGAGATGATGGACAGGTTTGCTATTAGTCTTTGATAGATAGGCAGATAGATTGGTCTTATTATGACATTTTGATGGGGTTGTGAACATCTTCATCTTATTATTATGCTACTTATAACTAGTGACGGTTTTGAACATAGACTCAATTCTCAAGCTTCGATTTGTTCAACAACTGATCAAACCCGACTCAATTTTCGTCGCGTCCTTAACAAGTTCAGATAGCCCAGTTATCGAATTTTGTATCGGGTTAGCATTCGATAATACCTGTCTGGAATTGGTTGCGACCATAATCAAGTACTTATACTTCTATCTACTGTGGGTAAGGCAACTCGTGTCGACAGCGACTGTGTGGCTTGCTCCACAGGCAGGTCTTGCAGAACTCCGAGTCTATCGCACAACCGCAGATGGCGGAGATTGTTTTAGGGGAAATCGTATTGGAAAAAGAAGGCAAAAAGAAGATGAAAAGAGATGAATATGAGGCCATTTTTGGGTTGACAGGCAAGTGATCTTACGTTCCATATTAAATTACTGAAAAAAAAATTTCAATCCAGCAATGTAAGCAAGTGATACGGTCTAAATCAAGATTTTAGTTAGACCAACTAAATTAGTCATTTCTAATGCACACCATATGTAATTTCAGGATAAAGTTTTGCACACGTCATTATAATCCTACCAAATAAATTTGGATAAATCGCACAAATGGTTCCTGATCTTTAGTTAAATATACAATATGATCACTGGACTTTAATTTTGTTTGATGTGTCTTTGAACTTTAGCCGAATGTGCAATGCGATCTCTGAACTTTTAATTTGTTTAATAAGATCCCTGAACTTTTGATACATGTTAAATTTAGTCTCTGAATTATATTAAAATGTTCAATGTTATCCTTGAACTTGAATTAATAGAAAGATAATATTGAACATTTTCATACAGTATGTGGACTAAATTAAACATTGACCAAAAGTTCAAGGACCACATTGAACGAATTAAAAATTTAGGAACCACATTGCACATTGAGCCAAAGTTTAGGAACCACATTGAACATATTTAATGTTTAGGGACCTTATTACACATTGGGTCAAAGCTTAGAAACCATTTGTTTTGTTATCCCAATAAATTTCCATATCTTCTATATATGTAAATCAAAATCATCCATGCCATGGCACTGCCACTTGTTGTTTCCCATGTCATCTGTTTTGCGCAAAAAAAAAAAGAAATGAAGAATCGAAGGAAGACGAATCAACAAGGAAGATTTATTTCTTCAAAAGGCTCAAAATCATCATTTCCTACACGTATCATCCTCCATAATGATTTTGCACGTAAACAGCAACTCTAGTCACCATGTCGAGTGCGTCGGGCATGTCCTCCGAAATCGCGGCGAAGCTAGGATCGAGCGCGCCGTTGCATTCGAGCACATCCGCAACCCTAGGCTTCGCCTGGATTATTTCCTTGTAATCTCTCTCCGTCGAATACTGATGACACTTGCTCAAATTGTCCTTAATCCGTTGGTACACGGAAAGGCAGATCTCGCAACCTTTTCGCACCGATGGATCCGCCGTCCCTTCGCGAATTTGAGCATAATTGTAGTAGATGAGATCCGCCTCGTTCATGGTCAATTCGATTGAGATGAGCGAAAGCAAAGGAATATCCGCCGAACTAGTGCGCGTATCGCTCTGTAAGAGCTTCACGCAGAAGTCGGGATTCTTCGCGGGGAGGCAAATGAAATTTATTGTGTCTTGGGAAATTGCAACGGAAGAAGGTATGGAGAAGAAGATGAAGAGTGAAGATGTGAGAATGCTTAGAAGAAGAGGTGCAGAAGAAGAAGAGGCCATTTGGTTGTTGATTGGATGGTTTTTGTGTTTTATATATATATATAAATCGAGTAGGTATATTGAGACATGTCTCAGCAAAAAAAGAAAAAAAAAAGAAGGAAAAAAAATCTTTGTAACATGATTATGCCGCAATCTGTAGATTCCAATTGTGCAACTTTCATTTTTTCCCCTATTTTGATCCGGAGTGAGCATGGTCCGAATTAAGCTGGTCCAGCACCTAACCCAAAAACAAATCCACACAGTGTTGGTCCCCAATTTTTGGGACCAGGGACCAACGCTGTTGAGCTGGGGGTTGAGGACTAGACCGATCTTGTGGGTCCGGTCCGGTTTCAGGGTTAACCAAGACCAACCGATTCTTCTTTTTTTTTTTTTGTTATCCTTGAAAGGGCAAAATGTACTCTTTGAAAACCATAGAGTTTGGAAGTTCCATAGAAAAACATTCAATTGTCCATTTCTTCATTACATATCGACCTACATATTTTTAGCAATTAACAAAAAAAAATCCGAAGTCACGCCCTAACAACAAATCCCCCAAGTTGCAGCATTTTGTTCCCTAATCAGAAACCCAAGTTGGAAACCAGGAAAATTAGCATAAAATAGAGACACCACATGACTCCGGACAAATGAACGAGCACCAACGAATAATAAAAGAGAGTCAGAGCTGTTGAAATTAGAATAAAATGTGCTCATGCTTTACTTATCGATCAATAATATGTGGTATTTCTCATTCTTGAAAGAGTCTTTAACTCTGCTAGAGTCAGAGCTACTAAAATTGCCAAATTCATTTGTGCGAGTTAAATTAGGAACCTATAATGCCACACGATAATATCCATCATCTTTTTTTGGAACATGAGGAGGGAGATTCTGATATTACAAATTCTAACAGGGACCCTAGTTACAAGACCCGTTTTGTTATTGTTTTTTTTTAAATGTTGAGATGTTGTTCAAGTTAATCGTATTCATGTTGAAGCATCAAACATTAACAGAAAGAAATTGTTACTATGATTGTCTCAACGAAGATGCAAAATGAATATGGCCATTCGAGTTAAGATTCTCGGCCTCTGTTTCTCTTAGAATCGAGTATGAAGGTACTTACCTTTGAAATGCAGATGTTGAGTGCGAACGATGATCAATCTAAACTGCTGAGATCTTGGAATCTTCGTTGCTGATGATCGGCACTGGCAAAGAATAAACGAGTAGGGAGAGAGTCATTGCTAGAGCGAGAGATAGAGAAAGAGATCGAGCTACTAAAGGGCTATTTGGTAACCGGCCAAACAGTACCCGTTTCTATTCTTTTGTTCCCGAGAACAAAAAAAGAATAGAAATCCGTTTGATAAATTTTTTGTTCCCGGGCACAAATTTGTTCCCAGAATCAGTTTTGGAACAGAATCAAGAATAAAAAAAAAAGTTTATTCTTGATTCTGGGAACAAGAATCAGAAATGGAAAAGAAAATTTTTTTTTCTTTTTCTTCGTGGCCGACCTTCTTAATTTTTCCTGGCCTGTGGCCGGCGACCTACCGGCAAGGGCGTCGCGGCCCTCGTTGGCAAGGGCGAGGGCTAGACCCTCACGGCCTGGGCAAGGGCCGCCCTCGCCGGATCTAGCAAGGGTCGCCCTCACTAGATCTGGCAAGGGTGGCCCTCGCCTAGGCGACGAGGGCTGCGACGCCCTTGCTGACCCTGGCCTGTGGCCAGTCGCCGATACCGGCAACCTGGCCATGGCCCAAGAACGAGAAGAAGAAAAAAAAGAAAAAGAAAGAAATATTAAAAAATTCAAAATATTATTAATAAAAAGAAAATTTGTGTAGTTACTAAACATATTTCTGTTCTTTTTCTATTCCAGAAATAGAAATTTTGAGCAATTACCAAACACCTTCAAATGCTTAGAAATTATTTTCGAGAATAAAAACAAAAAAAAAATCATTTCTGAGCAGAAATTCTTTTTGGGAATAGAATAGTTATCAAACGCACCCTAAGATCTCGAGAAGAATCTAAAACTGAGGGAGAGAATGAGAGTGAGACTCAAAGAGAGGGAGAGGAAAAGTGAGAAAGAAGAGCACTTTAGTTTATATGCCTAAAGTTTGGAAAAAAAATCATTGGGTGGATCCAATCTGAACGAACCCTAAAGCTTTAGGATCAACGACCA